ATGCTGCCAAGCAGGGCCGGAGGCATTGCCGGCGACGGTCCTCGGTGCCTTCCCCTGTGCTAGCAGACGAGGGTGGAAAGTGCTGAGGCGCTCAAGGGATGGGCAGGGTTACCCAACAGATTACATAAAACAAGTATTGCACGGTGCCGCGCTAAAGAAACAGAGCTCTTAAGGTCATGGGAGTTTGCAGTATAAGATACAGATCAGCCAGAGCCTGACAGTAATATGCAGCTATTATAGCTCTAGATGTGTTTTTCTGCTTTCAAAATATCTGTGCAACAACAAGCTGTGGGATTTCAGAAGTCGTTGTTCCCAGCTGATATTTACAGCCAGCTCCTAGAAACCTGACAACTTGATCTACTTCCTAACCTTATGTGATATTCAGGGCTTGGGTTGTTTTTGTAGGGCTGCATGTGGGCAGTAAGATGCTGGAAGGGGTTTGTGTTTTTGTAGTTTTGTTCCCGAATGCTGGACTGCTCGTACCATATGCTCCAACTTGTGACCATCGGTTGCTCAAGAGCAGCCCAGGTCATCGGCAGGATTTGTTTGTTTACTAAAAAAAATTAAGGTTCCGATTTCTTCCCGAGGCCGAAGAAAGTATCTCAGGGAACCGGAAAAGGAGAAGAGCAAATCATCTGCCTGCCAGCCCTGCAGCAGTGTTTGCACAGAAACCCAGCCTCGGTTTCCTCTCTCTGGTAGGTGTCAGGAAGCAGAGGAGGAAAGACGCGCTGCCTCCGCGCTCGCCTCCTCTGCCGCGGCCTCCCCTTCCCTCCCCTCCCTCGGCTGACCCAGAGCAAACAGGGAAACATAACCCAACACACATTTACAGTGCGTAATACAAGCAGAAGTGGGAAACGCCTGACTCATGCATGCTTCTGGCCGCTCGAGCCGAAATAAACCCACCAACCAGATGGCTTGGCCGGAAAAAGGAGGAAAAAAATGTTAGAAGGAAAGCAAATAAAAGTCCCACAGAGCTCTGCTCCGAGGGCTCTCTTCTGCGAGGCGGGAAGGGGCTGGCACCATGCACCCAGGACGCTTGCAGCTCGCCGCAGCAGGGCACACGCGGAGAGGAGGCAAGACCCTGCTGCAGCTGGTGACCCTAAAACAGGTACGGCAAGAGCTCACCTTCTCCATCCCACCTGCCTTTCGCCCCGACGCCTGCGGAGGACCAGCCTCCCACACCGCACTCCAGGGCCACCGGCAAAGCGCAGGCGACCAGAGCACGAGCACGCTCGGCACACCTCCGCAGGGAAGCAGTGTGAACGGGGCTGGGTCAACGGAGCCCATAGGGTGCCCTCCTTCAGGTCCCAGCTCCTGCACGCCAGTTCTCAATCACCAGTTAAAAAAAAAAAAAACCAACAGATGAGCTGTTGCACCAAATGTTTGAAAAAGGTGGCTACTCGCCCCGAGTTTGCAAAGGGCCTGAGACAACAGCTCGCAGGGACTCAAGGTGCTTTCGTGGTGCCCGATCGTCGCACGGCTGTGACGCACGACAGCTGGGAGCAGCCCAGGACCTCAGGGTGTCACAGGCCAGGCCCCTGGCAGGCTTGGGGGAAAACCTGAGGTAGCATTGTGTCTATTCTGAAGACAAGAAAACGGGTCTGCAGCAATGCTTCGGGTTACCTCGCTGGCGCTGCCACGCGCCGGCAAACGGCCCGACGCCTCCAGCCAGCTCGCACTTCTGAGCCCAGGGGCCGTTGTCACCTGCAAGAGAAAAACATCTCCGTGAGCCACACCGCCAGACGGGGACGGAAACGGGTGGGCTGATGGAGGCCATGAAGCCACCCCTCTGCTCTCCAAGGGCTTCTCCATGAGCTCCCCCTTTCGGGGAGCTTTTGCGTCCTGCCAAAAGACCCACGACCCCTGCTATCCTCCTTTGTATCGCCAGATGCCTTTCTACGCTAGCAAGAGCGGAGAGCGGGGCCTGACAGGCAGCTGCTGGTAATAAAGGTTTATTTTCTAGTGAAGGGCCCTGTTTCTTCCAGGCAGCTCCAGTTGCCCCTACGTGACCGAACCGAAGCCGGGGGCAGAGGAGACGGCTGCACAGCAGCGCTTGCCTTGGGGCTTTAATGAGCCCCCGAGCAGTTCCTGTCATCTGGTCAACAGTGGAGCAAGACGTGCTCATTAGGGAGGCTTCTCGGCGAGGAGCGGATTTGGGCTTTTTAATTAACGAGGATTTGAGGTTTAATTAGACGTGGCCGTCCGGGTTCAGCCCACTGCCCGAAGGGGGGTGGCGGCGGGGTGGAAAACAAGCTGCCTGGCGAGAGGGAGGCAACCCCGGGAGCGCCGTAACCCCGGCCGGGGCCGGGGCCAAGGGGAGCAGATCCGCTCCGGCC